ACTTGAAGATCTCTACAATCAAAACAAGACCAACGAAGACCTTTAGTCTTGTCAGTAATAAAATCATACTGTCTACCATTAAAACCAGCAGATTTAAGATGCATAAAATTATCGCAAATAAAACAAGAAATAAGACGCTCATTGATGTCTCTAACTGAACAGTCTTTGAAAGAGCAAGCCATTATGTAAAATAACAAGTTAGATGAAAATACCAGTTAAAATAATTTTTTATATGAAATAAGAAGGTAAACTGTGTAATGTGAACACGGTGTAATAATCAATATATTATTAGTGCCTAAAAGTATGCTAAAAATCTATTATTACGTACACAACTGCTAAAGGGGAATCAGCTACAAACGTCAACACAAACAAAACACACGACGAAAATAAAACAAAAATGTAAAAGCACAATAAAACAAAACACTGATGTTTTACGCGGAAAATTTTAAATAAACTTATTAAGCAGGAAAAAACCCTTTATTCACAAAAACTTCACACTTTTGGAAAAAAGATAAATAGTGTTAAATTAAATATCACAATTTAACACTTTTATGACGCTTTAAACACACAAAAAATTGAATTTTTATTTCGTTAGACGAAGACACAGAAAATAAACACTTTCAATCGAGCAGAGTTGCCAGATATATATATATATATATATATATATATATATATATATATATATATATATATATATATATATATATATATATATATATATATATATATATATATATATATATATAATCTAGCTGGCCGGCCCGTAGTTTTTGCCTATTCTGCACATTTGTCAAAGCATTATTATTCACAGATATGACTGATATAAGTGTCCCCCTGACCATGTCGGTCTGTTTGTCCGCCAAAAGGTGGACTTAAGGGGGTTCCATTACATGGAGAAATTTCTAAAATTTGTAGATATGTTGAAATTTTTTTGTTAGGTTTTTACACCAAATATACATTTCTAGCCAAATCCTTTGAAATATGGTCCAATCAGGAGGTACCTTTATATGGGCACTACTCCGAAACATCGACCTACATTGAAAACTTTCTTTTACCCCTTATAATCCAATATGAGAAATAGAGGCCAAATTAAAAATATAGCTATTTTACACCCATTACAGTAAAATGGGAATTTATTTTATTTGCCATTTAAATTGTAAGTTTGAGGCCCCATAAAGTCCATATTTTTTTTCATCATAGTATAATTCAATGACGATTCAACAAATATTCGGTCCCGTGCTACTTTCTTTTATTTGTAATTTGTTCATGTTTTCTCAATTCATTTCATATAGATGTACATCTCAAATCTACGTTCATTTCATTTTCATTTATTTCATACAATTCAATATAAATAAGCCAACATGGCCAAAATCTTATATTAACATACAACAGTATAAAAACAGTCTATAACCAAATTAATCTAAAAAAACAAAATAAATTACAAAAATTATCAACGAATAGTAAATTATATACAAAAAAAGAAATAATAATAATAATTTAAATTTAGTAGCAATTTAGTAATTAGACCCTCAGACAAAACTCCTCTACCAAGCTGAACAACAGTTTAGCAAGGTAGAGAGGAAAAAGGCAAGAGGCATCAATACACTTAAGCGCTAATCATCACTCGTTTCCAACCGAGCGAATGTAGCTACTACAAGTATAGCAAAAAAACCTTAAAAAAGAAAAAAAAAACAATAAAATTATGTACTACATGGAAAATAAACAAACAAAAAAATGGCCCCCAGCCAATAACTAAAAAGAAATAACAAAAAATAACCCGCAACCAGAAACTCAATGAACAGACAAATATTCAAAACACCTCTTCTTGTACATATCAAAAGAACAGGTAAAATTACGCAGGGTCAGAGGGAGCTGATTCCACAATCTCGCAACTCTCACAACAAACGCCTTCTCACCAACTACAGACGAAAATCTTGGAAACAGCAATTGCGGATTTCGAGATGATCTACAAAACACAAACTTATTGTACAAAGGAGAATTAACATTCCTCATAATTCTGTAATGACACAAAAGAAGGCGATATTCAACATATCTGTCAAATGAAAGTCCAAGAAACTTAATAACATTCTGTGTTACACGATCACTACGGCGCAACCCAAACACATATCGAACAATAGAGTTAACAACTTTGCGTACACTCAGAATTAGGGAAGCATTCGCCACAGAGATGACTTCCAAACAATAGTTGACATGAGACATTAATAAAGATCTGGGAGCCATCATCCTAACACTAAGAGGCAAATGAGCTTGAAGACTATATAGCCTCCGCATCTGAAAACGCACACGAGACAGCAAAGAATCAACATGCGCTGAAAAATTAAGCTTGGTGTCAATGACTACACCTAAACATCTCATCTCATCCACAACATTAACCACAAAGGAGCCAACACAGAGGCACGGCGTAGGAACATAACGAGGACTATTAAACAGAACAGCTTCTGTTTTATTCCAATTTACAGACAAACCATTAGAGGAGATCCACATAGAAAGCAATCCCAAAGTAGTGTTTGCCACATTTTCCAACTCAAAGAGATCTGCACATCTAAAGAAGACATGAATGTCATGAGATCACTGAGGGCTAAAAGATGAACCGTGGCCGTGGAAGAACCACGCCGAAACCCAAACTGGGAACTATTCAAATACTTACGGTCATCCAGAAAATCAACAATCGCATCCTTAATAACATGTTCAACCAATTTCGACATAGCCGGCAGAATGCTTATTGGTCGAAGATTCGTCTGATGATAAGAACTCCCCTTCTTCGGTACAGGCACCACACGAGCAACCTTCCACGCAAGTGGAAAGGTTGACGTCATAAAAATACAATTTACAAAATGCAGAAAGTGACTACAAATGTAAGGGAATACGCATTTGAAGAACTTAATAGGTATGCCATCAACACCAGCATTTGACTTAATATTCCGCAAAGCCCGAAACAAAGCATCCATGTCCACACAGCCAAATCTAAAAGAATCAAAATCATTGGCCTCACTAACAACAAAATCACGAGACGAACCTAAATTACCAACACTACAAAAGTAATTATTAACAGCATTGACATCAATAAATGGGACATCACAACCATCATCAAGACAACCAAACGACTCTAACGACTTCCATATCTGCACACTACTCATACGACCAAACATTTCCTCATAAAATTTCCTTCTTTCATTACGCATGACAGCCTTACAGCGGTTTCTATACATACAAAATATCTGCCTGTTGCGAACCGTAGGACGCCTACGCCACTCCAGATAAGCCTGATCCCTAACGTAACAGGCCGACTTTACCACATCCAACCCCAAACAAGCATCACTGTAGTGCCGCCCAGGAAAAGCTCAGCAGACAAAGATTCACACACACACCATAATTCTCCGATCGATAAACCACCTTATATGACAAATTATCACGTACATATAGCATTACACCTCCACCAAAGCGGCCAAAACAGTCATTACGCAGAACCTTGTATCCCGGAACCATCAACGACCTCGAAGAAACTGCAGGGTTAAGCCAAGCCTCAGTCACTGCAAAACATCAATATCACTACCAACAAGCAGACATTTCAACTCTTCAACCTTATGATTATATCTAGATGGTCGCAAACTTTGACAATTCAAGTGACCATACGTAAGTTTACCATGGAAGCAAGAAGAGACATGCCTGAAAAATTGAGCATCCCTGATCACGGGTCCGAGATTCCCATCAAGGGACATAGAAATCAAAAAAAGGCTGGGGAGCATAATTATAGAAGTTAGAAAAATCATAGAAAACAATAAAATAAGAATAAATACAATAAAATAAAAATATAATAAAATAAATTTATAATAAAGCAAAAATAAAGGCAAAACTTGTTATATTAACAATTCACTTGGCCCAAGAAAAATAAGAAAAAATAAAAAAAAAATAAATAATAATAAAAAAAAATATCAAAAAATAGTGAGATCAACAACACTAGCATATCTTAAATATCTAAGCAAACAACTATTATACAGTATTACCATCACCAAGCAGCAAACCAGGAGCAGAATTCAGCTGTACGCCACTTACTGCACACTGAGATCGATTGGCCAATTCAAAAAGCTCACACTGCTCAAACATCGTTTTCACTCCATCAGGGAGAACCACTTCAACTAAAGGCTGGTCACCATTGACCAATCTAAAACTCCTAATGTGTTTCTTCCTCAGCAAACCACGACAAGCAAACACCAGCTTCGAAGTTGACTTAATCAGGTGATCATTTATGTACACCCGGGATTCAAGAAGACAATCCTCCATTACTTCCTTCAAAAGTATACGCCCCCCTTTTGGCAAAATTTCGCATCAAGGCGTCTCTGTCCTGAATGGAGTTAAATTTAACAATTTTAGTGCGAAAATCTTGACTTTTGGTTTGTTGATATGAAATTCATTATAATGGACATGTCAAGTTTTTCGAAATGTATGCTATATAGTGGAAAGGAAAGTACTAAATTTGGTATGGTATATAGTAAAGAGCTGGAACATAAATGTTGGTATTCGAGTCACTGTGAGTGTTCAGTTTTTAGATAAGGAAGTTGATTTGCATACTAAATTACTAAATATGCTACTTAGAATAGGAAAAGATCTAGAATTATGCAATTAGGTATTAAAATATAAAATATAATCATGGTTTACAAATGAAGAAAAATACAAAGCTACTTTAATTTTTGTGCTCTTTTTTAAAAATTCTATGGACAGAAAATTACAAGTTGGTATATACTCATGAATTTATTATTTCGATTTGTTTTTTTAAAAACTTGCAAGTGGTATATAGGTTTACAATATATTCTGTTTGGTGTAAAAAAAATCAAACACAAACTCACAAATTATGAATTCCCTTTTCCGGGAATTTGCTTTTGTATATATCAAATAACAGTTCTGTAAAAATAAATAATAATGTATTATTTTGATAGCATTGTCATCATATAGCATACTAAAATTCTAATCTTTCCTTGTAGGTGGCCAAAGCTCAGAAAATAAAAATATCATGATTTGGGATACATTGCTGCCTCAAAGAAAATCTTGTGTAAGCGGTAAGTAAACAATTGATGTATGTACCAAGAGAATCCGTCGCGTTTCGCAGCACCAACTAAAATGAAGTACCAAAACAGGTACCTGTACTTTTAGTTCTCACTGGGTATGAAACTTGAAACCTCAATTAATGCTATTAGCGGTTAACACAACTTCATTGTTATTTTCTTTGAATTGTGTTCACCTTTTTAAATATTGAATTTTTTTAAAAAGCACTTTATGTAGCTCGATTTTGTGTATGTATATGTGTGTGTCTTTTTTAATTTTTGTATAATATTATAAATATACAAATCCCGTCATAGCTTATTTTCTTACATTCCTGTGTGTTCTGTGGGTCATATGCAATTCAATACAGATACTGTTCTGCCCTACCTGCTTCTGCTGAAAGACACATTTAAATAGCTTGTGACGCTACATTCACGGATCTTGATCAAACGTATTGTTTTTGTAAATATTCTTCTGACCATCTTTTCCAGAACTGATGTTTAATATGGGATATTAACATCCAGTGTGATAGGCTGGATGTCTTCAAAATATCTGTTCTGATGTCTACTTGCGAAGTTAGAGCTTCTCCGATTAGAAAAGGTCCTGGTGTCAATGCTTCAAGACTATCTTGATCGTTTAATAGTGGCGTTATGAGGCGAGAATTTAGTATAGCTTCAAATTCTATGATAATTGTCTACAATTCTTCATGCGTTAGTGTTTCTGTTGACACACCTCGTACAAAAAGACGTTTTGCGGACTTTACTGTAGCTTCCATCCAACATCCGAACCTGCTCTTGGAGGGGTAAAACGAAATTGTATGCCCTTAGATGATATAATTATCTCTTACACCTGTTTTGCATAAATGCTTTCAGATAATCCCACTAAATCATTTTTGACTCCTACAAAATTAGTAGGATTATCAATATACATATTCTGGCAGTGCCCTCGACGGGCAATAAATCGTCGTAATCGTAAAATGTACTGCCTTTGTTGCGAAGCAGCAGAACACAGTTGCGTCGTTTTTCTTTTTCCCCTCACCATGTAATGTATCCAAAATGGTCCATAACAATCTACTCCAGAATTTAAAAAAGGTCGAGCGGGAACTGCCCTTGTTGCTGGCAAATGACCCATTATTTGTTGATATATTTGTGATCTTGCTCTGGTACACCTCATTCATTTTTGAATAGTTGATCTTGCTGTTATTTTCCTCCTGATTGACCAAGAAAGGCGATAGAATGCAAATTCCAAAATGTGTATAGCATTAGTAATGAGACGGAAAGAGTCATCTAGTTCTTTCGGATTAAAATCTATGTTTTTAGACCTTCGCGTCCTAAGCATCCGCACGTTCATCCTTCAACTCCCTATTATTTGGAATAGAATTTTTAGGATAAAATTTGCCAGGTCACTGGACTGGAAGAAATACTGAACCATGAAAGTATAAACGACATTTAGACAGATTGGTGGGTTGAAGTCCTCACTATAAAATGTCGGCAGGATTATCTATTGATGGTACGTGGCTCCATTGTTCTGCTAATGTTAATATCAGTAACATTAACATTAGCAGAACTATTAGCCACAAACGTTTTATAAAAGTTTCACTGCGATATTATCCAGGAAAGATCTATTTCCGAGTCAGTCAGGATGATTTTGGAGCTTTAAGTCACTCTTAACCCTGTTACTCAGTTGATCTGCTAACACAGCGGCACAGAGTTCTACCCGAGGTAATGTTTGTTTTTTCAATGGAGCTACCCAGATTTTGCATAGATCAGACGCACAGCTATTTTGTAATGAACGGAATTTATACAGCAACGCCAAAGGTTTTTTCGATGCATTGGCAAACAAATGCCAAACTCTCTTGGATTTTCTGAAATTGCTGGGATGGTTATTTGATGTGATGGTGAACAATCTTTTGTAGATTTGAAAGATAAAAGTGGAAACTCGTTGTTTCAGGGAGAAAAAGAAAGAGAGTAAAACAAAACGGTTTAAGGATTTTGGATTGAAAAAAAAATAATGAATTTTATTGAACGAAATTTGAATAGTTAACCTTGGCGTTACCAACATGCAATTGTGTTTTTGTTGGAATGTCTCCACAGAGTACATGGTTGTTGATATCTTCCAATTCACTACGAAATATTTTCCAAGTATCACAATGTTGTTCTGGTTATGGTTGATCCTAATCTTATGTGAGTTTCTATAGCTGCTGAATAAATATTTTTGCTTTTACAACAATTAGTGCACGTAGCCCAAGGGGGTCAATAAATTTTGGGATTCCCGATGATGTTTGAGATTTTCTTGGCAAATGTAGCAATGTATTTTGCTTATTACCACATTATTTGCAGTTTCCAGAAGTGTAGAGTTTTGTAAGATGAACGGTCTTAAAACAGTTTTCGCACATTCTATGTTGTTGCACCAATTTGAGCCTTTCAGCTTAATGCATTGCCAAAAATCAATTACAATGATAAATGCGTTGTGGCCACTTTAGCATAGATTGTACTTGATGTTATCCTTCACTGTTACTATCAACGAAACAGCCTTGTTGGAACCATGGTGTGTTGTTGCCGCCTTTCCAATCGATTCCATTGACTTGAAACAAACAGTTCTTCTATAGGAGCTTCTTTCGGTTTCTTTGATGACAGCATAAATTGCATGTACAGAGAATGATCTAATTTCTTCGTAATCATTTGTATTAGTAGAGCATCCCATGACGACGTGTCTACATTCATATTATTGAGAGCTAGCATGCATTCCCTTGTCGTGTCATGCAGAGCCTTGATCGAAGACGTACATGAGGTTCCATTTGTTTGATTTGGAATCCGTTCTAACAGCGTGGCAAGAATAATCTTTTTATTGTTGCACCTTTCTTGAAGCAATATCCATGCTGTTGTATCGTTGTCCTCTGTTAAGGCTAGATGGCTTATGAGTTTGCTATCCTCACCCGATAAAGTGGTTTTAACATACCACATTTTTTGAACATTTGGAAGAGGTTGTTTGTCTGCCACCTACACATAAATTTGAATTGGCTTCAGATTAATTTTCCTTACAAACACATAAACTTGGAGGAATCGTCAAATAGCAATTACAATGCAATTGATTTAGTCACTATTAAAAGATGACTGAATTTTCTTTATTGTCTTTATTGTTTCTTTATTTCTTGTCATTCTGTTATATGCATTATTTTCTAAACATATTTTTTACAGTAATATAATAAATGATAACAGAGTTAAATATTTTGCATTAAATAAATTTATAAACAAAACAAAGCCAATGATCGAATGGCCAGTAAACTTACATTTTTTTCATTTTCTTTATTTTACGTCGAAAGCTGCATAGTGTTTTGTACAGGTTCCTAGTAAAATGAACATTTTTTTAAATCCTATTTTTTGAAAATTTCAAAAATTGATTTTATTTCTTTGCTGGCCAAATTTAATAAAATCAGTATTGTTCATATCCACCCACAAAAGCGGGTGAGTGAATTATGTATGTGTGCGAAAAAATGTCACATTCAGTTTTTGTAATTCTAAATGGGTTTTACCGCCGGTGTCATCATCCATATTATTTTTCCTTTTAACGGTACCGACAGATATTCGGTTTTAAACAATTTAACTGCAGTATCCAACCGATTTTACTTTAATTTGCAATTTAAAGTAGAAAACGGTCGAATATTACATTCAGATACATTTCTATATAAACACTGTCTTTACCTCATGGTGGAAATTATTGAACGTTCGGCCCTGCCAAACTTAATTTTTTTTACTTGTTTCTCTTTGCTGTAATATGCGAGTTATAAGAAATAAGAAATTTACATTTTCCTCGACATTGTCTAGATTCACTCTAATTTTGAACTATTTCTAAAAAGTTTGAAACTTTTTTAGACATATAGTGTTTATGGATAGATAAAAAAAATCCTATTAAAAAATTATGAATGAATTCTATAACTTTACACCAAACAACAAGTTCTAAAATATTGTTACTCTCGGGCGCATCCAATTTTAGAACGCAAATAGGTTCCTGAAACCAGAATTTTAGTTTTAAACCATTTACAAAGAGTGATGTGCCCGAAAATAAAACATTTTTTAATGAAATTGTAAATAAAAATTTAAAGTTACCATTTTCCTAACCTAACAAATCCACTACATAGATCAAAGCTCTCCACATACTGTGATGCATTTACTGAATTTAGGAAGTATATTGTTTAAAAATATTTAAAAATACGTATTCGGAATTCTTCTGCTTGGTATAAACACAACTCTGAAAACTCCAAATGTTACTTTTCAACATTTAATAAAAGAAAATCAAAGAAATTTCCCAGCCGTTTGAAACTTGGAAGTACTGAAACTTGTAATAGCTCAGTTATTGCTAATTTATTTATTTTTTTACTTTTTTCAATTATCTAATACGCTGAACACTTTTAACATCATTTATAAATATATCCTCGTATTATCTTTACTCTTCCTCGTCCTGATGGCGCTCCAACCTATATTCTAGAATCGTGTGCTAGTGAAATTTATCTGCCTCTCATTAACATTTTTTATCACTCTCTAATAAAAAGTTATTTTCATTATTATTGAAGATCGAGCTTTGTCATTCCTCTCATAAATTAGGAAATTTGTTTTTGTCGATAATTATGGATGCATTGCTAAATTAAGCGCTATTCTCTACCTTTTCGAACTCTAAGAGGTATAATTTCACCTTTTCAATATGGACTCATGAAAAGTAGGTCTATAATCACTTATCTCTTAGAAATAGTTTGTCATGTACAAAATGGATTTGTGGGCAAACAAAAGAAGGATGTTATTTTTACTGATTTTTGCACAGCTTTCCATGTGGTAGTACACAAGCTATTGCTCCTTAATTTAATTTAATCTCAAAATCCCTGTTAAACTGAATATCCTCCTACTTAGAAGATCGCACCAAAAAAGTTCTTTTTAATGCTACAACTTCAAAGAATGCCTTAGTCCGGACTTTGGTGAGTAAGCGCTCTCTACGTATAGGGAGGTGGCCTCTAGGTGGGCAGGAGCGGGTGTGAGAGGCGTGAAATCAAACGAAGCATATTTTTAAAAATTCAATATTGAGCTTGAAACTTTTGTAAATTGTCGGGTAGCCAAATATCTCTTTATTTAGTCTAGGTATTATATTAAAGGATATTGCTTGAAAGGCTCAGCTTTTGTCGATTGTACCGCCGACTTTAGAAGTGAGGGCCTCTGGAAATATTTGTATAGAATTGTAAAATGTTTTTATTATAACTAATGTTAAGTACCACCAAGAAAACAGTGACCTATTTTATTTACAAAAGTTTTTTTTTGACAATTTCGACCCCTGAACATTCGCCCTTATTACGTTTGACGTTGTGGTAGAATGACAGATCGCGTGTGAGTTCTGGTATCTGATATTTTTCGGTGCCACGAAAAATGTGCAACTATGACACATTTGAAAGTGTTGTTTTTTTACTCTAGTACAAAACTGATCAACTCTTTTGTTATAGATTATAGTTCAATCATGTTAACAGTACCTCCATTCGTAATAGTGATTTGCCATATTAATGCGGCAGCATTTCGTTTATGTATGACAACGCTAACCCTAATTAGTCAGATTATTCGAGTAAATAACATTTTCCGTAAAAAGACATCAGATGATATATCTAAAGAATGCGTAAATCTGTTATTATGTAAGGAGTAAACTGCCGAGCTCACAATTCCAGTTGTTTTGTTTACAAAATTAGTATCCATCATGAAAATAAAATTGTGAAATATTTTGTAACTTTGTTTTGTAAAATAAATAACACTGACTGTCTATATTTTGTTACAGCATTTACCTGTCACGAACAAGGCACATCTTGTTTTGTATTTGCTCCCCAACATCAGTTACTTATATCTTGTGGAAAGAAAGGAGACATTTGTATCTTCGATATGCGGCAAAGAACGTTGAAACAACGATTTCAGGTAACTATATTATGAACTAATAATTTTATAAGTGACACGAAAAAAATAATTTATGGTGAAATGACATATAATTGTTAAAATACTTTACTTTAAAACTACATTTAAGGTAGCTCAAAATGTAATTAATAAGCCTACATTGTACATATAGTTTTAAATAAATAAAGTAAAAAAGTAGTAACTTCGGCGGGAACGATCTTTTGATACTCTCCACTGTGATATATACGAAGTCAAAATGAGACCCTACATTAACAATCTTTTTAGGCAATTAGACACCCAATATAAACTTCAAAGGGAGGTGGTATCAAATAATGAAGGGAAACGACGGCAGAATTCAAATGCGGTCCCTTTATAGACAAAATATGTCAGGATTTTCTTGCTCATCTGAAGAAGTAAATCCGAAAAAATCTTCTGTTTCTTGAAAATTACCATCCGAACTTGAATCTTCCTCATTGAGTTTTCTATTAATTTCCTTTGTTTCTCGCCCTTCGGTAGATTCCAGGGATTCAACATTTTCAGGTGGCATATAAAAATACATCTCTGGTTTTTGTTCTTGTGATTCTTCTAATGCTTTATCTTCATCAAAAATTACGTCCCGTCTTTCCACAACTTTTTTTGATTTATGATCGTAGAGGCTTAAGACACTAATGAGTATCCAACATGATCATTTTCTCCCCTTTTCTTCAAACTTTCCTCTTGCATTTTTGTTCAGCGCAACAGCTTTAGAACCAAAAACTCTCAAACGATTAACACTTGGTTTCCGCCCAGACCATACATCCATCGGCCCACAATCTTTGATCAAGCCCTGATTCAATAAGAAGACAACGTCCCATTTCAACTAATGTGCGATTTGCTCTCTCCGCCACACCATTTTGTTGTGGGGTGTATGGAACAGATATTTGTCGTTTAATTCCATTAGTTTCAATGTACTTGTTAAATTCGTTGCAAAGGTATCCTCCACCATTATCGCTTCACAATGCTTTAATTTTGCAACCTATTTGCAACTCCACCATGGTTTTGAATGCCTTTAACGTTTCGTCTTCTGTGCTGAAGTCTCAGCATCCTTTTATTTGGCTTATAAATTTCCTCTGTATGGGAACAATTCCAGCTGCAGTTTTAGCTCTTTAATTTTCCACTCCACTTAATTTTCCTCGACGTTAAGGCAAATTCTTCAACATTTATGGGCAGTTTTTTTTCAGTAATTTGGAATTTACTGTATTTTGTACACCTCATAATTGAGGGCTGAATGATTTAAGAATAGCCAAAGTTAATTACTTATTTAAACCCATTAGCACCTCAGATTGTGCCCTAGAGTCCTCATAAATCCTCCTAATCATGTCGGTCTGTTTGTCCGCCAAAAGGTGGACTTGAGGGGGTAATATTACATGAAGAAAATTCCAAAATTTGTAAATATGTTGAAATTTTTGTCTAAGATTTTCACCCCCAAATACACATTTTTAGCCAAGCCCTTTCAAATATGGTAAAATCAGGAGGTACCTTTATATAGGCACTACTCCGAAACATCGACCTACATTGAAAATTTTCTTCTACCGCTTATAATCCAATATGACAAATAGAGGCCAAATCAAAAATATAGCAGAACAACATAGCATGTCATAGCATTTCGCGTGATTTAAATAAGTAAAAATAGTTTTATCCACCTCATAATTGAGGGCAGAATGATTTTGGAATAGTCAAATTGTAAGTTGGAGACCCCATAAAGTCCACATTTTTCATCATAGTATAATTCAATGACGATTCAACATATATACGGTCCCGTGCAACTTTCATATGTTTGTAATTTGTTCATGTTTTCACAATTTATTTCATATAGATGTACCTCCCAAATCTACGTTCCCAACCAATATTCTCTTGGGGGTTACTAATTCAATAGAATACCAAAGTTTCTTTTCTGACCACACATTAGATGTGAAAGTGGACTTGGGGATACTCCAATGTGGGGACTTTACTTAAATGAATACCTATGTGGCAATTTTCTGTATGATGGTTCCCTACCCCAGGGTAGCATAAATACAATTTTTTAGCTTAATCAATTGATGAATGTTTTCAAGACCAATATGGACCCTACTCTGAAAATTTCAAATTTTATACAAAGAGGTTCTCTACCCCCTTAGAAACAAAAATGCCAAATACAGTATAAATATGAAATCGGGTTGTACCCTTATCCGTGAGTTATGATCGATATCTAGACCTGCAAAACCGATTTAAGGTATCTTGAATGTTTGGGATGAATTTCTGGAAGGATATAAATCCTTTTCTTACTAAAAGTCCCATTCGCTCTACTATTTTCCACCCTTTAAATTTGGTATTTTACTGATTGTGGTCCCAAAGGATTTTGCATTTTGAGCTCTCATTGGACGGATTATTGTCACATGAAAGAGGTAGGTCCACGCTTTGAAATGAGCCTCATTAGGCTTTTTCGGTCATTTTTGTTTGTTAAAAATGTGTTCGCAAGGGTAGATGTCAGTTAACATCCTATTTCGCACTTGTTTCATTTTTTTGATGAAAAATTGTATATAGTGAAAAATTATTCTTTATTTTGTTCACAAAAAATTCATGAATTCAATATGATAACACAAATTGAAAAAAATTTACAAAAGAAGAATAACAAATTGAAAAAATCTTCAACTTTTTGCTGATTTTATACAGCAAATGTTTAAAGGTCCTTACAAAGTATGTCAATAGAATGTGCTATTATTTTAAAATTCGATTCCATTGATTTTTTTTTCGATTTTTTCCCTATATGAGAATTTTTGCAATAACATCTCTTTTTCGTGATTTTTTATTCCGTTCCGCCACCACATAATTCGGTACTACACTTCCATGTAACCCGCCATCAATTTCAGTTCTCAAGAAATCAAGTCAGTTAATTGGTATTAATAATAATTGGTATTCTTAGGTTCCTTCTGTTGAAATTTTCATTGTGGTGTTGTCTTGCATTTAACGAAGATTTTTCCTACTATGTTGGTCACTTGAGTTGTGTTGGTCACTTAGAGCACAGATTATCGATGCATATTTCACTAAAAAACAAATATAACAACATATTTAACACAACAACATGGATAGGCAGTTTTTTTAATGCATATATAGCCTGCAATTATTGGCTAGCCAATCGGGCAATACTCCTTGTTCACGTATAAGCGAACATGTTTTTATAATGAAAGAGAATAGCGGGGCTACCTTGTGTAGATGAGAGGGATTTGTTAAACAGGGATCTTCTTAATACAGTCCACATTACATAAGATAAGAAAATGTGGCGAGCAGACCTTCGAGTTAGAAGTAAATAATAATAATAATAATAATAATATATATATATATATATATATATATATATATATATATATCCAGTGGCGTAACCCACAAAACCGTAAATTTACAGGAGAAACTTACGAAATTTAAGCTAGTAATCCAAAGGTGTTGGGTTCAATTCACAGTCTTAACAGAAATATGTCAATGGACCATGTTTAGGTGGACTATTTATTAAAATTACCATTCTAATTTTATATTTTTTGTTATATGCTACTTTAATTGTTTACTGTATATATCGATACGAATGATTGATTGATCACTACTATAGTCCAGTCATATTTACTTAAAAAGGCGTGAAATTCCAAACATTCCGACAAATATAAGTATTGAAGAGATTTGCTGTACCTTTGACCGCGAATACCTTTCTTGTACACATGCGACTTATAACGAATTTTTTAATTTTTGTAATGGTAAAGTTTAGTTTAATATTTATTATATTAATATATAAATAGAGTCCGCAAAAAAATAAATAATACTAATAAATAAAACTATTATAAAAAAATTACTGCATATTATTTTAAAATTCTTTTTTATTTGAAAATAAATAACACTAATTATCTTTCCATTCACGAAAGACTTTACTCATTTCTGATTTGCGAAATAATTAGTTTTATCCTTCCGGTGAACGAATGTGCTACTGTATATGCTTAAACAAAGCAGGGAAATATTGCGACATTATTTTGAAATAATGATCAAATTGCAATATGCCTGCAAATATTGCGTTCGGATTTTGGAAGAAATGAAGCACCGTCAGCTCAACAGGCAAAACTGTCACTTTGAAACGAGTTACATATTTTGGTCAATAATTGGGCCATTTTTCTTCGAAAATGAGCAAAGAGTGGCCATTGCGATTTGACACCGTTGTGCTATTTTTTGTGGGGTGCCGTCAAAAATAAACGTTCAAAGGACATTTGTGAAATACAGGTGCACACAAACGATATTGTGCTTAAAAATTAGACCGATTGTGTAGGCTACTGCATAACCAGCCGCAGTTTTTTGTTTTCTTTATTGACTGGAAGGATAGTACTTTCAAATGAAAAGGGTATTTTAAAAAAAATATTCAGCAGTTTTTTAAAGCTTTAAATAATATTTGGCGGACCCTGTATACATACACATACACAACTTAACATTGTAACTCTTAATCCATTTTGATATCTTTTTTTATTATTAGGGTCACGATAGCGCCATTAAATGCATTAGTCTTGATCCCCATGAAGAATTTTTTGCTACAGGAGCTATAGAAGGAGATATAAAG